CCTGTTCTTACCATTGGACTTGGAAACCAGTCTCCATGGAAGCCTTCCAGCCCATCTTCTCCCTTCATTTGTCCCACCCTGACCTGGGTCCAGCCACGGTAACCAGGAAGGTAGGCGCGTCCACGTTCCTTGATCCCCTTCATCGGCCACATGAGGAATCTTCCAGGACCATCCACAGAGTCGGGAGTCAGGACGCAGCACACATACTGCATTAGGAAGGCTCTTTAATCGCAAGCGAATGGGAATCACATCGGGATGAGAAGGGAAGGAGCAGATGTGGACGGGGTGAGCACAGGATTTACACTGCTGGGAGCTTCTAACAAAGGGCAACAATTTTTGGCAACCCATTTCACAGTTTTGTCATTTACAAGAGATTTCTTGGAAAGGAAATAGAAAGGCAAAGAAAGCACACACAGCCCGCATGAAACATTTCATGCCTTGAAAGCAAAAACAGAAATCCCACCCAAACTCTTCCCTGCTGCTGTCTTTCCCATAGATGGCCAAAGTCTGCACTTAGACACGAACGAAGGCTGGATCACTGGGAGCTGTCGTTTTTTTCTCTTAGCAGTGACAATTTGCTTTCTCTTCTACAAAGATGACATTTCTACAGAGCACTGTTCGATACTAGAAGGTCCTTGGCTGGGGGGGGGGTGCGGGGGGGACCCTGAATTTTAAAAAACAAAAACAGGAAAAGGCAGTCTACAACGAACAGACCACCATCGTTCTCTACAGAATCAAACAACCAGAAGAGCGTTCTCTGCTCGTTGGATACCTGCTTTAATGTGGTGTGGCATAGACCTTGAGTGGCCCGGGCCTGTCCAGACCTGCAGCGCCCTTAACCAGGCTTTCTAGCATGAAACATTGGTAGCTCCTCCACTTACAGATCCTTGTGTGAAGAAAAATATCAAAGACAACATATTTCAGCCATTTGCCCACCCCGCCTCCCCCCCTGCCCTATCCCCTGCCCGGGCACGAGCTCCAGTTATTTTGCCCTGACACGATATCGCTGTGGACGCCAGGGAGGACTGGCGTGTAGGCAAGTTTTACAGTTATTCCGTGTAACAGCCAAGGGGACGTGTGCCACCTGGTATCACACATCGAGATGACAGACTGGCTCCTTCTGGGTGAGGACTTGTTCTGAATGCAAAAGAAAACCAGCTTCTCTGGTGATTTCAAGGCTGAGAGTAGCCTTGGCAGCCTGTGCGGAATCTGGGGTCCACAGCAGACTTCTCTGTGCTCTTTCTACAGCCCCGAAGCCTAGTCTGGAAGAGGCCCTACCCCGACCCACCGCCTCCCCTGCCGCCACAGCCACTAACGGGCCCAGAGGCCTTAGGCCTAGCGGGTTCAACCTTGGGACACCCACCTGCCGGCAGTGGCCAAATCAACTTTCAACTTTCCTACACCCGCCCAGTAGGGGCTGGCCACTGTTGCTCTGGAATCTATGAGCACTGAGGAGCGAGAAGCTCAACCATTGGGCAATTCTCTCATCCCAAAAAAGAACTGTACCAGATTTCCAGGACGCCTTCTGTCCCCACGGCTGTGGGGTATTTTTAAAGGCACAGAGCCACCCCCAGCACATCCCCTGCCTGGCATGCAGACAGTCCCGCGAGGGGAGGCAGGCTCAGGAAGACAGCGTTCTCGTTCCTGCCTCCCTGTCTCCCAAGAGCAGGACCCAGTGCTCACGTGCTCCCGCCTACACCAGGCCCTGCCTATCCCGACACGCGTCTCCAACCACAGGAAACCAGAGGTGCCCACTCCACGTCCCCTACCTGTGAGACTGACCCTGCAGGCAGCTTCCTCAAGGACGAAGCCCAGGGGTACTCTGCAGCAACCCCATGGGCTCACACACTTTGTGCTCTCATGAAACAGAAACAGAAACAGGATCAGAGATGTTCATTGTGCTTCAAGGAACCGACTCCGCTTAGCTATGGAAAATAACAGCAACCACTAGAGGAGAGAGGTTTGCACTCTGGAAACAGGATTCTCACACCAGGTCATCAGGTCTTCTTCTTGAAGAAGAGACTTTGTGTTCCAGTCATGGGAAAACAGGGTGAGGGGAAACAGACCCAATGCAGCTCTGAGACTGGGCTCAGGCATTGTATGGAGTCTTACTGACCAACCCCCCCCCCCCAACCCTACGGTCCCAGGCTCCACCCCAGCTCTGCAATTTATTCTTGATCCCTTGAAGACGAAATTGCGTAGTTATTGGGCAGAAAAAAATGGAACCAGGTAGCCACAAGAAAAATGTCTGCGGGTCACCGGAACCCAGAACCCACGTTTAACACATGCCATCAGAGGCATGATTTCACAACTGTCCCAGAGTAGCCACAGCAATTACTTCTTTCTTGCATTTACCTTCCTTTTCTAATGGACACACAGACACAGACACTCCTCTGCAATTGCCCTCTGCAAGACCAGACAACTAGCGGGCAAAAGTGACAGCCCCTCTTGCACACTTCCAGCTACTTACCCTGCTCATCCGCCCCCTAGTGACGCTGAACCTGCCTGGGAACAGCTGGGCCCCTACCTCCTGGAAGAGTGAATCTTGTCTCTGGGGGCCCCACCCTCCCTCTCTCCTAAAACCACAGAGTTTCATCAGGCCCTGGGGGCTTGAAAACACACACACACACACACACACACACACACACACACACACACACACACTCCTGCACAAACCCTTTGTCATCTCACGGCTGGGACCTCACCTTTCTTCTGGCTTCTCAAACAGTTGCCAAAGAGTGAGTGAAGAAGGGGGGACCAAGCAGCGAGGGGGCCAGTGCGTTTGTGTGGGGGCAGGGAGTGGCATGTCACGCTGTCGCTCACCAGAAGCCGGAGTCCCTCGCCCTGCCGGCTGCTGAGTGTCAGCACGTGCAGGAGGGACAGGAACGTGTGTAGCTACCAAACCGCTTGTGCAGCAGGAGTCACGGCTGCCAGACTATCAAGGCACCCTGAGGAAGTGACGCTGGGTGCGGCCCTGATGCCACTAGCTGGGGCATGAAGTCTCACGCATGGAGGGCAGCCATGGGTGCATGTGTGAGCACCCGGGCGGGGAGCACTGACAGGGTGACCAAAAGGCTCAGGGGGCACAGTCCAACGTGCTCATGTCTTTGGGAGAATTGTCCTGGGGAATAATGCATTGTGACCGGCCTCCCCCCCGCCTCTCTCTCTCTCTCTCACACACACACACACACACACACACACACGCACGCACACACGCACGCACACAACTACTCCTGGAGCAGACAACAAGGAAACAAGGCCTAATTTCCCCTCGGCCTAATTATCTCACTCAGGGTTTATGAGCAGAGACCAGGAACACCAAGAAGTATCTGGTCAAGGTCCAAACGGTTTCATGGAAAAACAGTTTATAGTGATGCCTGTTTCACTTTCGGCCTGAAGCCTTCGTGCACACTATCCCAGTTTATTTGAAAACAGAGAAGCTAGTTGTGGCTGTTTCTTGTGTTAAAGAAGAAACACAAGACGCTGGCCCTAGGGACAGTGTCCAGGGAGCAGAAGCGGAGGATGAGCGAGGGGCCACTCATGCACTGAACCCAAGTCCCTGACCGGCTCCGAGAACAGCCTTGTTTTGCTGCACTTGCCAGGAACCTTTCAAGGGTTTTTCCAAGAAAAGAAAAACCTGAGGTAGTGGAGGGCTGGAAACCCCCAATCTTACCTCATGACTTAAAACTGCAGCCCCAGGGTTTTACCACAAGCAGCCACTGTCCCCACGGCACCCATCCATTCAACAGAAACTACTGTGACAGTCTGGGCTAAGAGCGACCAGCCTGGAAGATAAACAAAATTCCCTCAAGTCCCGTGCCCTTCCCTACAGCTGCTCCCATTGCTTTTGTTGTTGTTGTTGTTTGCTTTTTGGGTCACACGCAGCAATGCTCAGAGGTCACTCCTGGCTCTGCACTCAGGAATTACTCCTGGCAGTGCTTGGGGGACCATATGGGATGTCAGGGATTGAACCTGGGTCGGCCGCGTGCAAGGCAAACACCCTCCCGGCTTTGCTATGGCTCCGGCCCCCATTGCTTTTGTTAAGCCTTGATTTGATAACCCAACCGTCATACACGTGCAGGTTACAGCCATCCCTTCCCAGATGCTATGATTAGCCGAGTGTGATCCCTAAGAACGCATGTCACACCCATGGTTTTAGATCCAGAGATGGAGAAGGGGCCGAGAAAGTGTCTCCAATGATTCCATGTGAGCATCATAAAGATTCCCCTGGGAGCACTGCCCGGTGGCAGCCCCTCCGATTAATACAGCTGCTTCTGTGCATGGCCTGAGGATTACAATCACCAGAACTCCCTTTTTAACCAAACAAGAAGTACTGAAATCCTTGTCATTGCTTGTTATGAAGATAATCCCACTTTCACGTTACTTTAAAAACAACTGCGCTTCTTTTCCTCAAAGTACGGGATTATACTTTTCAGATAAATGACATTGTGGTAGCCTTTACTTGACTTAAAAAGAAAAGAATGAATACTAAGATTTAAAAAGGAAAGAAGGATTTTATCATTTACAAAAAAAATTTATCTTGGTTTCAATTTCTCTATGGCTTCAAAGATTAAGTGGCACTTGGATTATGGATGTTTCATGATTTAACCAGTTGCCATTACAAAGAGAGACGGGACAGTGTCTCATTTCCTATGTGGGATGGTTTAGAAGCATTTTAAAGAAATGAGGAAGTTGCCATTTACTCCATTCCTGCTTTGGGGACTTTTAAAAAAAATGACTTTGGGATGCGCGTGTTTGGAACAACTGAAGAGGTCCATCGCGTGTGCACCTTCCCGCGAGCAGCTGCTGCAACACCAGACCCCGAAGCCTCTTGGCTCCCTGCTCCCACCCGAAGCTAAACAACTAATGATCCTTTCCTGCCCTTGAACTTGCTCTTGTGCTGTTAAACGACTAGATATTAAAACTCATGCTTTATAAGCAAAACCTTTCACATACAGACACTTAGAAGGTACATTAAAAAAGTGCAGACCGCATATCTCCTCTGCCATGCTTTCCCTCAAAGTACACCCTCAATACATTCAGTTTCCCACACTCGAGTCAGCGAACGTCAACTCTCCAACAGAAACTCAAGAAAGAACAGCCAGCTGGGAAAAACGGACTCGCAACTCAAATGGCCAGCGCTGCCCACATGACTCCATGGACACCCACCAGCCTAGAGTGATGTCCAGGTCACCTCCGAGCAGAACTCGGTGCAGACACTCTGTGGTCATCAGAAAGGTATTTCATTTTAATTTGGGTGCTGGGAGGCGGAGGTCCGGTTCCGAGGTGCAAAATACTAACCCAGGAGCTCAAGACCCCTCTTTGGGGCCCCACGGCCACACGCTCCTTCGGAGTGGGCACCTTGGGAGGTTACTGCTGACTGACCCCCATCTGGGGGTGGTCCGCCTCCGGTTCTTCCTCTTCCACATCTGCACTGTATTCTTCAAAGGCATCATCGTCTGCGTCCGGAAGCCCCAGTAGCTATAGGGGAGAGAAGAGAAGCAGCATGAGCACTCCCAGGGGCCTCGGAGTGAGCCTGGAAACCCAACACTGAGCAGGACTTGGAGAAGCCCCTGAAGATTTTCCACAGGTGTCAACTACCCTGACAACTGCATTTATGGAATTAGTAGATGAAGAAGCCGATCCTTCTAGGGGCAGGTGCCCCAAGAATGGGTTTCGTAGGAAGCCTGACATCCTCTGCTTTCAAGTACCAAAGTACAGAAGCGCCAGTACCAAATCCAGGCGCGTTGGCACAGGTCTGGGATACGAGGAGTCGTACAATGGCAGCCAAACCCGAGTCTCTTCTATATTTGCCTCACCTAAGAATAAGCACTGCTATTAATTACACACATAGAGGCATGCAGAAACAACTAACGCATTCAACAAGACAGCTAAATCATGATGCATCTGTGAGAAATACATAATACATCCCCTGAGGAGTGGGGGTTGGTTGGTTTGTTTGTTTGGGGTCACACCTGGCAGCGCTCAGGGGACCATATGTCATGGTACCAGGATCGAACCCAGATGGCCCCTGTGCGTGGCAAGTGCCCTACCTGCTGTGCCAGCTCCACAGCCCCTAAAGAGTGTTTTTTAATTTGATGCCATAAAAGTGTTCCTAAGAGTAAAAATAACATGATAAAATTATTTTTAATATGACACCAATTTTCTTAAATATTTATATTTCACTATATGGAAAAATGACTTTAGTCAGGGTAGGAGAAAAGAGTGCAGGAGACAGAGCACAGCTTCCTGCTTGATCCCTGACTCCATGTGGTCCCAGAATCACGGGGTTGCACCCCCCAAAAAAAACAAAAAAGAAGGAGGGGCTGGAGAGACAACGCAGTATGGAAGACCCTGCCTTGCATGCGACCAACCTGGGTTCAATCCCGAGTACCCCATATGGTCCCCTAAGCCCAGCGAGGCACTTTCCCTAAGGACAGGCCCCAAGCACTATCAGATGTGGTCCTGAAACAAACAAATGATTTCAATTAAATGCACCCCATTTTTTTATTAGTAAAACACCATGAGGTACAGTTGTAGACTTACAAACGTTCGTGCTTGGGTTTCAGTTATATAATGATCGAGTACCCATCCCTCCACTAGTGCCCATTCTCCACCACCACTGATCCCAGTATCCCTCCCACCACCACCACCACCACCCCATCCCCTCACACCCCACCCCATCTCTGTGGCAGGGCATTCCCTTTTGTTCTCTCTCTCCTCTTGGGTGTTGTGGTTTGCAATAGAGGTATTGAGTAGCCATCGTGTTCGGTCTATAATCTACTGTCAGCAAGCATCTCGCATCCCGAGCGAGTCCTCCAAACATCCTTTACTTGGAGTTCCCTTCTCTATCTGAGCTGCCTTTTCCCCCAGCATGTGCTACCGGCTTCCAACCCGGAAATGCACCCCCAATTTTACAAATATTGTGTCTTTGATAGTGGGATGGGGCTGGAGTGATAGCACAGCGGGAAGGGCGTTTGCCTTGCAAGCAGCCAACATGGCTGACCCGAGTTCGATTCCTCCGCCCATCTCGGAGAGCCGGGCAAGCTACCGAGAATATCTCACCCGCACGGCAGAGCCTAGCAAGCTCCCCGTGATGTATTCGATATGCCAAGCACAGTAACAACAAAGTCTCATGATGGAGACGTTACTGGGCCTGCTCGAGCAAATCGATGAACAACGGGAGAACAGTGACAGTGACAGTGACAATGATAGTGGGATTATGGCACTTTTCTTTCTCTTTCTCTTTACTTTTTACCATGTACTCGATAGATAATTGTCATCAGGGAAAACCACAGCCAATGGGCAGTAAATATTTTCTTAAAGCACTGACTGGCCTTTGGCTAGAATCTGCGAATGCTATTTGCAGAACCTGATCCACAGGGATGCAGGCTCTGTGCGGGCAGGAAGCCACGGCTGTGGGTGCCGTTGGGTCTTCAGCCCCTCCAAGGGACTGGCCTGTGTGTGGCCAGAGGGACTGGGACACTGGGTTCTGGACTGATCCCTTTCAGGAAATTCAGCGAATGGCCTCATGACCCTCACCCCACACCCCAGACCTGCCTCAATACAGCCCCAACAGGCCCCGGGGGACCGTGCAGCCTCTGTCAGAGGATGCCTGCTGTTCAGCCCCTACCCCTTCTACATGCGCCGGCAAGGACAGGCTGGGCAGAGACGGCAGCAGACAAAGCCTTTATTCTCCCATTTTACCCTGTGGGCGTCTTGGGTCCCCTTTCTCCTACCACCATCTCCTTTTCAGATCTTAGTAGAGGAAATACAGAGAGAGAGAGAGAGAGAGAGAGATGACAGAATGAGGATGGACGATGACTATGTGTGGGTCCTGGCAGACACGTGGTCCTCAAGGTGGGCGGGGCCAGCCCCAGGCACGTGCTCCACCCTGGACCTCAGAGAGCAGCAGATGCTCCAAGACAGGGCGTAAGGGGAGGGCAGGGAACGCTGAACCAGGCCCGGCCCAGCCTAAGAGGGTGTATCAACCCTGTGTGCTGCAGAGAAGAGATGAGCCCCCCTGCCTGAAGGAGTACAAGCAGCAGCGAGTGTCTACAGAGAGAGAGAGACCCGAGGTGTGTCAGAACAAGCGTGCGGACCTTGACTAATCCGGCATTTGAGCTGCAGCTCAAGAGCAGCCTGATGGTGCCACCAGCTGAAACTACCACTCGAGGGGCAATACCTAGATAGCTGCCCAAACACGAAGGCTGTGGCCACCCCCATGGGACCAGCCCGGAGGAGAAGCGTCCTTCAGAAATCGACTTGACTCCTCAGCGAGGCATGGAAGGGGCGCCCCAAAGGAGGCGTGTCCATCTCTCACTTTACAAAGTGACTGCCTGGACCCCCGGGGCTTGAGAAGGCCACCAAGGCCCAGTGGCACTGACCACAAAGGCAGCCACAGCCTGAGAGAAATGCTACTGTTCCTGTTGCCCACAATCCACTCCAGGGATCCACACTTACCCAAACCCAGAGGCCCAATACCCGCTCTCTCCAGCCTACAGAGGCTTCTAGAACACCGAGGCCTGCCAGGCACAGAGCCATGGCCATCTCCCTCACCCCCAGGCCCAGTCCCCCACTCATGCCTCACCTCAGTTGTGCATCTAAGCCCAGGTCTAGCCTGGCACCCAGGAGAGGCCCTTCTCCCAGGAGGGAAGAACTCAAGCCGTCAGAGCACAGCTGCCCAGCCCCTGTCCTCACTGACCGGAGAAAGGAGAGAAGCTCTCAACAGCTCAGAGGGCACCATGGCGCCTGGTCTGTCGCTTTGCAGAGGGCTGGGTGGGAAAGGCCGTGGAGCAGGGCCCGGAAGCCAGGGCTGGCCCAGACCTTTGCTTGGCCGAGGTCCCCACTGCCCCTGGGATGTGAGCCTCTCCTGCTCCGCCTCCAGACAGGGTTTAAATGAGAGTGTGCAAGGGCCGAGGCAGCCAACTCCACAGCCCTCGTGCTCCACTGACAACAGGACAGGATCCATGTCCCCACGGGAGCGACTGACGCCTGGGCGGAGAGCCTAGCCCCTACTCCTCTGCTCCTCCCCAACCCCACCCCTGCCCCTCCTCTGCCCTGCTTGCTTCCGGACCACCCCACTGCTATCTCACACTCTAGGAAAGAAGAAAAGACACAAGAAGCACAAAGCTTTCAGCTCCTCATTTCGGAGTCTCGGGTTTATTATTTGGAGTGTGTGTGTATGGGTGGGGGGGTAGGGCTGGGATATAGCTGGGGCTGCTCAGGGCTTTCTGGCTCTGTGCTCAGGGATCACCCTTGGTGGTTCTCAGGGAACTGTGTCTTTATTTTTTTTTCTTTTTGGGTCACACCCAGCAATGCTCAGGGGTTATTCCTGGCTCTGCACTCAGGAATTACTCCTGGCGGTGCTCAGGGGACCATATGGGATGCCGGAGATTGAACCCAGGTCAGCTGCATGCAAGGCAAACACCCGACCCACTGTGCTATCGCTCCGGCCCAGGGAATCGTATCTTATGCCAGGGCTTGGACCCGGGTTGGCCACGTGCAAGGCCAGCGCCTTAACCCCTGTACTATGCCTCTGGCCCCTGGATCCCACTTTTTAACAGTCAAGAAGACATATCAGGAGCTAGAAAGATGCTCAATGGGTTAAGCATAGACTCCGCAAGCAGAAAATTGCAGTTTCAAAACCGGGTAGTGCAAAGTTTCCCAAATAATGCCAGAAGGAACTCCAAGCATAGAGCAGGTTGTTGCTTCTGAGCACCAAGGGTTACCGCCCAAAAACAAAACAAAAGAAAAATAAACAGAAGACGACATATCAGAGACAGCAACACAGACAGACTCAAAGCACTGCTTGTCTTCGCTATTCCCACACATTCTTGAAAGGAAAAGGAGGCAATTCCCCTCCCCCAACCCTGTCTGATGTATTGAAATTATTCCTGAATTTTGAAAAATTTTGTAGAAAACTTTGAATAAAAGTCTTCAACGGACAAAAATGAATAAATAATCGCCGTGCTCAGTCCTAAGGGCTTGGCCGTCCGGCAGCGCAGGTGCTCCCTGGGCCTCCTGTCAGCCTGGCTTCCTCTGGGTGATCTGTGGTCACGCAAGAATGTGTGGCTCCCCTACCCCAGGGAGCGCTTGCGTGGCAGAGATGCCAGTCCCTGAGAATAAAGTTCTTCAAACCCGGGAGAGTGGCGATCACCTGCAGGACCAGCTCAAGGGCTCTTGAACGGCAGTGCAATGAGCTGAGATTACATTTCACTGGCCTCTGGGGTCTGCTGCCTCCTGAGGCCTCGTGGGCTAGAGGGTCTCACAAGAGGAGAGAGGGGTCGGCTAGGAGCGGTGTGGGCCCTGGTGGGCAGGCAGGTCGCTGGGCAAGGGTGTCACTGCTGCCCCCTAGTGACTGGCTGGAACAGTTCCTGCAAACGCATCCAGGAATCCTGGCAACAGTGTTTTTTAATTTAATTTTTTTTAAATTTTTATTAGTGAGACATCATGAGGTACAATTGTAGACTTACAAATTT